AGGATCATACACCACCTGATTCCGTTCCACATCTCCATTTCCGTGGTAAGGTCTAGTCTATAGTCTACTCGGTGAGCCACTCAATCTGAACGGCGACTTGCTGGGTGATTTGTTGGATGGCCGGGTCTTCCATTGCCCCCACGATGGAGATGCAGGTCTTCAAGTCATGTTTTCAGCGGTCTCAGGTTCAGGGCGCTCCCCCACGATGCTAAGGCGCCTGCTGAAGTTCAAGCGCGAGCATGCCACTTATGATGAAGACTACCGCCCACCCACCTTCGCCGCCACGATCCCTCTCGATTTGCACCCACAGAAGCCACTTCGGTTGGAAGCAAGCGTACCGGTGACCAGGGGGATGAAAAGGCGGTGAAACGGGCGAAGAAGACTGACATCGCGCCCAAGAAACAGCCCGGCGCAAAGGCAGGTCGATGTCTTCGGTCCGGACATGTAGTGTAGCATACAAGTCGTATTTTTTGTCATTGATTTTCTCCGAATACTCGAGTCAATGCAGCCGCTTGAGGTCTTGCCCTCAAATCCTAGAGGTCTAACCCAAGTCCGTGAATCACGCATACACCTGGCATCGGAGGAGGGGTAATTTCGAGAATCGATAGCGGCGCTGGAACGGCGTGGGTGATGGCCATAGAGATGCCAACGTTGATGGTGGGGATGGGCGACTAGAAGGTATTTAAAATTGATTAGTTTAAATATCTAGGCACTGAACGGTGGAATGCCGCAGCGCGCGGCAATGTATGCGGCAATTAATTGCGGCAGAATGCAGCAGTGTGACAGGATTGCGGTCATGCTGCGGCAGTATTGCCGCTGCCTGCGGCAATTTCAAATTTTGCTGCGGCAGTCTGCGGCAGTTGCAGCGGCACAGCGGCACTTTCCCCCTGCCCTCAGAGAGCGAACCTCTGAATGTAATCCCCGTTCCGAATCGCAGAAGGTATTTATTAATACTCCACTGCTTTCTTCGTCCCTGGAGGAATTCACCGTCCACTTCACGTTGGGGATATGAAGTAAAGGCCCAGTTTGCCTGCTTCCTGGATGCAGAGCGTTCTGATAGCCCTCTGCCTCCGCCGCATCGCAAAGATCCCTCAAAGTTCGAACGCCGGTTCAGGTCCCCGTCGTGGCAGATGGCGAGTAAATGGAACAATCGCAGAGGAACATTGCCGCCGAATTCATTAGCCTCTGGTGGGACGGACGACTCTGTCTCGCCCTCCGCGGATAAGACGTCAAATAACTACGGAACCAGCGAGTGCAGGTTAAAAGGACGCTCCTATCCATCAGATCCCCTCACACAAGTCGATATGCACTTCAGCACCCTCTTCTCCCTCACCACCGTCTTCCTCGCCGCTTTCGTTGCTGGCGCTCCTGGACCCGCAGGACCCAACGCCAGCCGTGACACTGCGACATCCCCCGTCCCCGATGCCTTGGTTCGTCGGTCGCCGCTTCCACACCGTCTGTCATTGAAGTGATCGTGCTGCAGGCGGTTCACTGCTCTGGGGAAGGATGCGATGTCAAGCATCCAAAGTGCGCGGAAGGGTGCTACTGCAAGCCTAATCATTATTACGACGTGAGCGCGTTCTCTGTGGTCATTACTGTTCACTCACTCGTGGGAAGGCTGGCAATTGCGTGGCCCACTTGCCCTGAATACGTCCACTCAACCTCCAGGTACTGTGACACCTGCTCTCTGCGTAATTAGACTGACACAGTTACAGGAATACCTCCCTAGTTCTTTCAACAAATTCTGTCAGACAATCAAAAAAAAGGACTGTGTTCTATGTTTTGAGGTTGAATAGTACTTGGAGTCTGTGTATGCCGTAGGACTCGCCTAGTTGTTACAAAATCTCCAAGAAAATGTTGATGTATCCTGTGCGTCAATCTCGACTCACGACAGAGGGAGTGCGTCAAATCCTCGCCGCGGCGAGAGATAGATGCCCGCTGAGTCAGCTCTGTCTGCTTTGCGCCACGAGCGCTGAAGGTTCGGCTGACTACCTGTAGTACGTCGAGAATCCGCTTGAACCATGAATGTCGCGTCTGACCTGAAATAGTGGAAAAAGGCCGTCAAGCTACCGTCCCTACTGCCTGCTTACTCCGGGTTATTGCCCAAGCCATCTATGCCTCGAGGCTGTTTCAATTACCCCGGGCCTGAGCCCCTGTCCGTTGAATTCCAGCGACTATCTTCGCCTGATTTCGAAAGCATGGTTCAAGCGCGATGGCGCGCGGCCCGCATCTGTGTACAATGTCATACCATACCCGCCCTACACTGCACATTTCGTCTGGTCGACTCGGGCCTGAGCCGTTCGTGAGTAATGATCCCCTTTTCCATTCCACAGCAAATTAATTTTTGGAGGCAGCGCAATTCTTCCTGTCAAGTGTAGTCTAGCGAACCCCTCTGGAGATCGCTTGAGGAAGACTTCGATTGATTAGAAAGAGCCAGATTACAATTTTTGTCTCTTGGTGATGCTAAAACCTTTCGTGAATATCTGGTCCGGGATGGAGGAGGACAGCTCGGTAGCCAAGTTGACCAAGTACCAGCGGCACAGGGGCGGTAGACGTCGTGCGGAATAGAAGCGCAGAATTAGTCAATACTGCAGGAGGAGCTAGAGAGTGGATGGCGATGACAGAATGGAAGCGGAAAGCACGTCAGAGTATTATCCAGCGATGATAGAAGGTCAAAGGGGTGGGAATGCGGCGGGTTGAGTACAGCCTGCCCGCATGGACGAGTGTCTGAACTAAAAATCAGGGATTCCGACAGCTCAACGCTCCCCCGATGGAGCGAGAAGAAGTATCTCGGCTGGAATGCCTCTGAACAGAGGACGAGATCAAACGAGGAGCGATCTTGGGAGCGACGTATGCGCAGCCGTCTTTGAATGTAGGGCGATTGAGACAGAGAGTTCAACGGGAGTTCAGGTGCAGGTACGGAGTAAAGCAGCAGGTCTATATCGTGGGCCAATGTGGAACGACCAAGTACAACGGCAGCCTTATGGACGGGGGAGTGGCCCACGAGGGCCGGACGAAAGCACGATTGACGGCACGTGGCCCCGGATGGCATCAATCGGGATATCCCGGCCGGGAACGTCGCTCCCGCCACCCCCACGACAAGTCGCGCGACGACCCCAAGATGGCCGGCCGGGCAGTTTGTCTAAACAGAGAAGATCGGGGCGCATCCAGCGGCGACAAGCCCACCCTCGAGCTGCCAGTGGCGCACAAGTTCTCACGGCGTGCTGGAGGCGCTCAGGATTCTGAGAAGAACGCGGACTCGACGACGAAGAGGATTTCAGTTGGAAGGGGAGAATGCGGGTTTCCGGGTGATCCTGGGTACGTGTTCGAATTCTCCGTTGGTTGCTGAGTCTCAGGTAGAGCAGAATCCCCCCCGCGCCAACTCTGCATTTGTTGCCACGTCCCCGGCGCCAACCTACACGCGAACGCAAGCCCGGTACGTATGCGTCTGTCACTCTCCGTATATTCTGAAATCCCCCTCCCGCTCCCCTCCGGCACGCCGGTGTCGGTACGCCATGCAGGATCTCGTCTGCTCTGTCTGCAATCAGTGCCGCTCTCATTCGTTCGGCATGTCTTATACACCCACTAGCTGAAACCCGTGCTACGCCACGGCCTGCTATCGCAGAAATCTTGCTGCACCCGTGCAGTCAATTGACTGTCTTGAATTTATAAAAGAAATGTCTGGAGTTCCCCGGAGACTTGCAGTCCGTGCCAGTGCACTCCCCCGCACTCGTGCATTGTGTCTAACTTTTCTCCGAGTCAGTTTGCAGAATCTTTACTATTTTACAAAGTATCTGCACACTTGAAGGCTGAAGTCACCCGTGCACTCGTCCTTGTCCTTAGAATTAGGATAGAAACTGATTCAAAACCCTGGACTCATAGAAATCTCTGGGCTGCCAGCTCGAAGTCTGAGGTACCCTTTTGCCCTTGTGTGTCATGAAAGCAATTTGCGAACATCCACTGGCAGCAGACAAACTCCCTGAATATTAATTAAATTCCTGCCTTCGTGAATAAAATCCTGCCCTTCAGAAGTCCATGGTGCCTCTTGTCTCCGTGTACGATGTGGACGAAGTCGTTGAAATTGTCGACGGACGGCCGAATAAGTCCGATGTTTGTCCAAGCGTGCCCAAACGTCTACGGATAACCTGATTGGCCAGTAGATGTCTTCACGTGACCCTTGTCCTTTGTATAAGTAGATTCATGCGCTGCAGCCAGTCAACAGTGGCGGGGCCTCCCACCGTGGATGAATTGCCCCTTGCTCTCGTTTCGAGCGCATTATTATCTTCCGTCGGTCCCAGTTCTGTGATACCCCCCGCGACGACACGACAGCCCACTGAGCCCAGACGCCTCACCGACTTTAGGAACTACACGTTTCACCTCGTACCGGCTCCATTGTGGAAAGTCCGCACCCGTCCATTCGACCGTGTACAACAGCTTTCGCAGGGGGTGTCCGTTTGACTCGGGCTCGGGCCATGAAGCCAACGACGATGGGGTTTTTTTTTTTTCAATGGCTCTTGATTTGTTTTGCTCACTTCATCTCAATCCATTCCATTTTTCTAGCACACTCCGACCGCCTGTAAACCTTCCAGCAATTTACTCCCTCTTGCGCCATTGTGAGGTCCTTGGTTTCTCGCAACGAGATAGAGAACTTGCTCAGTTATTGAAGAGCGAAAGCTCACTTGCATCGGCTCGATGACGGAGGGTCCGCACCTGCGTTAAATAGGGAACCTGCTCCGGCGCCCTTGGTAGGCGGCGCCCGTTCGATTCCGGTTCGAGCTATGAGCAGCCGATCGTCGCTTTTTCGTCCCTCCTTCGCTTTTATCCACTTCGTCTCGATTCGTTCCATTTTCAAGCAGCCTCGTATAATTATTTCCCCCGTCTAGTACCCCCTCAGCAGCCTTCTCCCCTGCGGCATTCCGGATGAGGCGAATTGTTTCTAATAATGACACAAGCTCCCTATTCACAAGCTCCCTATTGAAGAGCAAAAGATCGTTCTTAGCGGCTCGATGGCGGAGGGTCCGCGCCTGTGCTGCATATCATGGCAAGAAATGGGTAATCCAGGAGGGGTCCGTTCGACTCGGGCTCGAGCCATCCGTTTGGGGTGGAAACTTCTTTTTACACATTCGATCTAAACAGCCTATCATCGGCTAAATAGTTGTGTCCATTCTCTTCGACTCGGGCTCGAGGCATGGTAGGTCAATTCTCCTTCGTTTTTTCTCACTCCATCTCAATCTATTTGTCGATGGGACTTAGACAACTCGTCCCTTTGCTACATTGGGTGAGGTTAGTTTACCGGCTTATTTCCGGCGACAACATCGATATGAGCGATATTCCTATTGCAGGACTACGTTATATACAGGCTGGATTCAAGCCTAAACTGAAACGATCAGGCCACAATTACAATCGCATTTCTCCTCCAACACTACGATCTCTGTTCCTTTGATCCTCGATTGGTCATGTCGGTTGGGTTAACATCCAGCTTTTCCGGACGTTCAATGGGTACGGATAGGCTTGAGAGATTAACGAAACCTTGTTTCTGCTCTTCCTCTAATATGTGCGAGTCTATCCGAGCTAGTCGCTCTTCAATATAGGCCATTTTACGCTCCTGAGATGACCGTTTAAGCAATGGCCACGCTGTGTTCCAGAGCTCCGTTGCATGGACCAAGTCTCCTCGGAGCTCCGAAATATCTCCCAGCCGGAGCATGCACTCTGCTCTGCTCCGGTGGACACCCATCTGTGTGAATCCTCCCAAGGCAAGGGTGAAGAGGTGGATTGCTGTATTCTTATCCCCTTCGGCAAGGTACATATCTCCAAGGAATTGTAAAGCCTTATAGATGTTGAGCCTCTGGTGCAACTTGAGGCTATAGACCAGGTATGTCACTGTCCAAGTAGATGATCTATCATCCTGGGCAGTCCAGAGGTGCGCATCCCCTAACCGTTCTAAACAGTAGCTGGTGGCGTCACTGTCGCTGAATGTAAGGCATTTCCTGAACAGACTCCTTGCTATGGCAAATTCGCCATCTCTCAGAGCAAGTGTTGCTGGGATGATGTGGAACCATTCCTCCAGTATCGAGTTCCCGGCAGTGTCGAAGAGGAGCTTGGCTTTAGCAAGCTTCCCCTGAATGTCCTGCGTCGAGGCCCCTAATTCCACATCAAGCTCTGCAATGTTGAATAAAGCAAAAGCATGATGGACTGGGTCTTGTTCGCTCGAGACACTGTCAAGAATCTGAGTCTGGATGTGGCGAGCGTCGATATATTCTGATTTTGACCGATGGACCTCGGCCAGGTTGTTCCTGATATGCTGATCCATGGTCCCTCCGGACATGCCACAAAGTTCAAGGAGATCTCGTGCCCTATTGCAAAGGGAGATGCACCGAGTATAGTCGCCAAGTTCATGACAACAATCAGACTGAACCCGGAGGGCTCTCGCTTCCTTCACGAGATCTCCAGATATCTCGGCCATTTCCTGTGACCGTTGTGCAAGCGCCTGGGCTGCAACATAGTCACCAACTCGAACCTGGATCCATGCTGATATAACGAATAGATCTGCTTGTCTTTTGGTGTTTCCTGTCGAAATCGCCAATTCCAGTCCAGCTTGGGAGAAGTGCATGGCTTTCGAGAGATCATTGTCATGGACCTGATAATATTCTGCTATGTTGTCATAAAATGCGCCTACCAGCATGTCAGCATGTCAATAAGCGCTGGACATAAAACCCACATTTAACATCTGGATCCTCGAACTGTGGGAAACATTCGAGAGCTTGTTTGACCAAAACATCGGCATTTGGAATGGAACAGTAGATCTGTCCCTGGAACAACTGTGTGAGGAAATAAACCTCAAGTTTGGAGTCCTTGGGCTGAGGCAGAATGTTGGGAATGTGGTGCATCAATTGACTCTGTCCATGTCCAGTGAGCCTGCTGAAGCGATCAAATTGGCATGTGCAGTAGATGGCATTGGTAAGCTCCGGGTTGGTTGGGTTTAAACCATCAAGCAGGATATTCTGGATGTTGGCAAAGTTTGATTCTATGCGAGCCACTATTCCAGGGCCTGGAACAGTGCCAACATATGTATCATATATCTCGAGGAGCTTGTAAAAATGTTTGAGGATCGGTTGAACAATGAGAGCCATTGGGGGGTGCCTTGTCCGTACGTACTCCCTGATTGGGGCGAGGACCTTCAGTTGGCCCCGAGGGTCTACGTAGGCTAGGGAGGTGCGAAGTAAGGCAGCTTTGCACGCGAGAGGATTCACAAGGGGAAGTTGGCTCTGAGTGAGGTCTATGTCTGCAAGCCCATCAGGGAGCATTGAGAGAAGGCTCAATAGATCGCGGGCATGGGGTTGGGATGTAATTCGAGGGCTTGCAAGTGACAGCGAAATTGATAAATCCAAGTTGGACCCCTTGTTATGGCCTTCAGATATAAGGGAGGTACTCTCTGTCTCCCAACGCTCCAGGACACTGGGAAGACCTTCATAGTCGACCAAATGGGCCAGAAGATCTATTGCGAGCGGCATATTATCCGCAAGAATGAGAACTTTGTCAACGTCGTCAGGGCTATAGCCATCATCCGCAATGTCAATAAACATTTTGCGGGCAGCATTCAGTGACAAGGGCGCTAGTGGTTGCAGAAATGGTCGGGTCCACCGCACGCGAGCTGGCCTTTCGGCTCCACGCATTGTGATCTAAATCGCATTCAGTATATGAATAGAGCACATTTAGTCTGTCCGCTCACAATTAATGCCAAATGATCTATATCTGCAAGCAAGGACAAAAATATTTCCAAGTCTTCGCGGGTCTCTCTTGGCTCCCAGATGGTCTCGAGATTGTCGAGAATTAACAGGGAAGGTGGGGCTCTGCGGAAATGAACAATAACCGGCTGAGTGAGATCTCTTCCGGGCTTCAGTCCGATATGAGCTCCAATGACGGCGGCAAGCTGAACACTGGTCGATGCAGTGTCACAGGCAATGAAGACGCGATGCTGATCGTATCTGGCTGTGACTTCAGGGTGATGGAGAACGGCTCTCGCTAAACTTGTCTTCCCCAGTCCACCTGCTCCCAAAATTGCTATCCTGGGTGGCTCTTGGACAAAGCTTCGGATAATGTCCGAAACTTCAGATTCGCGGCCATGAAATATCTTGGGCTCGGGGGGTAGCAATGACAGGGAATTTGAACTTGAACATTTCAGACCATGGTGATGAACAATCGGAGACTATCACATACCTGTTTGCGCAGCTGGAAAGGACTCTACTAATCTGCGATGGGAGGAAAGGGCAGGTTATTATGTGGAGTCAGAAACAACGAAAAGTAGTAGATACCGATGATGTTCGGTCAGAGCTCGATTCATCCGACAGACAGGCGATCAATTCTAGGACTTGCTGGTGCGTCTTCTCTGCATATTGCTGCATGTCCCTCGCATCATTTAGAATATCGATAGCTTGCATCTGAAGGCTGTTCATTAGCGGACAGCTTGTTCACCGCATAGGGCCTCACCTTGAATATTTCGCGTGCGCGTTTCAGTCCCACGTTACAACCCTTCAACAAAGCACTCATTTCGGCTTGACGGAAGAACTGTTTAATTCTACTTGTATTCTGTTGGGCTTCCACAAACGTGTGGATTTTGTGGAGGGTTCTAAGAAGCGGTCAGGATTGATCAGAGACAGAACTAGAAAGAGCTACTCCATGAAGATCCCCAGCTCCTTCAACATATGTGGGGATAATTCACCATAGTCATCCGTGATGTGAAGATGGATAATGGCGTAGAGAAACTCGTAGATTTGCTCCAGCATTCGTATACAATCATCCTTGTTCTGTTTCACCGTCTTCAACGTCGTGAGATTCGCAGGTATCCAAAGATGGAATGTGGAAATCTACCTTCACTGATGTCAACAGAGATTGAATTGTGGTTGAAATTGGAGCCAGAAAGGGTGTCTGTAGGTTGTCGGAAACCACGTCCAGGGTGGTCAGGGCAGCAGTCAGGCAGGTCGCGATGTTGTTCAAGCGATTTTGGGACATGGTTGATGCGAGGGGTGTCTCGGGAGCAACAGGTGATGGGTGCTGTCTTTATATCAAAGGTCATGAGATAGCGTCCTAATTTGGCTGGCACGTCGGGCCTTGAATGATCATACTCCATGCCATTCAAGCTTCGACGATTCGCAGCTCCCACAAAGCTGTCATAGATAGAGTCTCCACGTGACTGAATACGAGCCGTCGAGTCTTGGTAGACATGATCTATGAATACCGGAGCCACAGCGGTTCCGGATGCATATTCCTGTGTACACCCAGCGAGGTGCCATCGATGCTGAGATCACGCTCATTTCGTCCTCTGATGCCATTCCGCGTCAGACTTGGCCGTGAATCAGGATGTTTCCTCGCGCGCTTAATAAAAATAATAAATATCCTAGAGCCCGGTGGATCAAACATATCGTGCAAGCACTCAGTCATCCAGTCGGTGCTGAGAAGCTCCGCAGAGACAGCCATATGATGTGCCGTTGCTGGAACATCGGCAATCGAACCATAATCGCTGCCAGGCACAGAAACTTCTGCAGCGGACATCTCGCACACACGAAGCTATTTAGAATGGAAGTTGATGTGTCTCCGGATCTTGACACCGAACACGAGCTGCGGCCCGAAGCCAATCCGGAGGTGATTTTTTTTAAAAAAAAAAAACAGCGGCTTGATTGAAGTCCCCCAAGGAATATGTTGGAGGATTCAAATTTTCAAGGCGTCGACATTTCTGGAATGCAATACAGGATCATGTGTTCTAAAAAAACGGAGTCAAAGCTGTGAGAAACATTTCAATTGGGCGCCCTGCACAAAGCTATATTGAATCCAGCTAATCTTCTAGCCCGTCCAAGGTGTCTTCGGAGCCCCAACTTTGAGGCAGACCATCATGTGGAAATCTTCAGCCCACATGCCGCGAACTCCGCCCGGATGCCCGGCACGACGCGCCTCTTCAGGAAGGAAGTCTTCGTGGAGTATGGAACTCACTGCCATATCTTCTATAAACTAGAATCCTAGGTGAGAGAGTCGGTGGTTCGAACCCACCCAAAGGCATGAAAAGTTGGCTTTACATTTTTTGCAGAGCCTAAGCTTTTTTTGTGTGTCTACATATCCATGGAGGAAACAGATCGAGGAGGTCTTCGTGGAGTACGCACTCGGTCCTTGCCCGTGTCCCCTTTACACTGGCCTCTGGCAGTTCGGCCCCGCCCGGAGACGTAGTCCTGTTGTTTCCTTTTTCCCACCTCTAATAACCAACGCCGTCTTTCCTCCGCCTATGGACGTGTATAATTTGAGAGCGAGGAAGTCTTCGTGGTGTACGCAAACTCGCTTCCCAACTGTGATGTCTATTGCCAAGTACCTGGGAGATTCGGTGGTTCGAATCCGCCCGAAGCCATGCGTGGACCGCCAGCATTTTTTCCCATTTGAAAAGACAGCTTTTTGCCAACCTAGGGGTGTGCAAAAGAGCGCAAGGAAGTCTCCGAGGAGTACGCAACTCACCCCCTTCACGTATGAGGGAGTTAGAGGTGTCTGGGAGAGTCGGTGGTTCGAGCCCACCCGAAGACATGATGGACGTGGTTGTTTGAGCCTTTTTTTGGCTTCCGGAGCCCGGGTTTATGCCTACCTTGTGTGGGTCAGAAGGGAGGAAGGAAGTCTTCGTGGAGGATGGACCTCACTCCCACAATGTGGCATGGTTTGGAAGAAGCTATGGGAGAGTCGGTGGTTCGAGCCCACCCGAAGCCATGCGCGAGCCGGCCAGCTTTTTCAAAAGACGACTTTTTTTGACCCACCTAGGGGTGCACAAAAGAGCGCGAGGGAGTCTTCGTGGAGTACGGAAACTCGCTCCCATGCTATGGTCAGAATCGGCTGCCGAGTACCTGGGAGAGTCGGCGGTTCGAATCCGCCCGAAGCTATGCGCGAGCTGGCCAGCTTTTTCAAAAGACTTTTTTTGACCCACCTAGGGGTGCACAAAAGAGCGCAAGGAAGTCTTCGTGGAGTACGGACCTCACTCCCACGATGTAGTATCGCTTGCAGAACCTACGGGAGAGCCGGTGGTTCGAATCCACCCGAAGACATGTCGCACTTCCTGAGCAAATTTTTATCCCACTCCGGGGGGCTTACATTTTTGCCCATAGGGAGGTGTAAAAGAGCGCAGGAAAGTCTTCGTGGAGTAATACGCAACTCGCTCCCTCCACGTTTTATATGCTCTCATATATCAGGGAAAGTCGGTGGTTCGAATCCGCCCGAAGACATGATGTGGCTGTTCGAGTTATTATTTTTCCCGCTCCCGGGGGCAACATTTTGCCCATATGGGGAGGGGTAAAAGAGTGCAAGGAAGTCTTCGTGAAGGATGGACCTCACTCCCACAATGTGGCATGGTTTGGAAGAAACTATGGGAGAGTCGGTGGTTCGAATCCACCCGAGGACATGATGTGGTTGCGTGAAATTTTTTTTGTCCCCCGTTCCAGTGGCCTACATTTTTGCCCTTTTAGGGAGGTGTAAAAGAGTACAAGGAAGTCTTCGTGGAGTACGCAACTCACTCCCAAAGCATTATCCCTGAAAATATGAATCCGGTGGTGGGAGAGCCGGTGGTTCGAATCCGCCCGAAGACATGCACAAGCCGGGCAGTTTTTTTTCCATCTGAAAAGACGACTTTTTGGCCCACCTAGGGGTGCACAAAAGAGCACAAGGAAGTCTTCGTGGAGTACGGAAACTCACTCCCATACTATAGGTAAGCTCGACAATAGTTCGGGGAGAGTCGGTGGTTCGAGCCCACCCGAAGACATGATGCGGTTTCGAGTCATCTTTTTTTCCCGCTCCGGCGGCAACATTTTTGCTCGTCTAGGGAGGTGTAAAAGCGCAAGGAAGTCTTCGTGGAGTAATACGCAACTCGCTCCCTCCACGTTTGTATGCTCTCCAATATCAGGGAAAGTCGGTGGTTCGAACCCGCCCGAAGACGTGATCCATTCATTTCCTTCCTTATTTTTTCTTTTTCTTTCCGAGCGCGTGGTTATGATCACGTCGGGTTGCACAGAGGGCAAAGCAAGTACCGGTCTTTGTGGCGGATGGAGCGCACTGCGTGCTGTATACGTATAATTGGCAGGAAGGTCTCGGAATCTGCGCACCTAATCTGGAAACTCCGCAACGGAAGAGTCATCCAAGAAAAAAACCCCGCTTCCGAGCGGGAAATCCACAACAGATGGTGCAAGGCAATTAATAATAGATTGAACCTAGACTGCATTCTGACAAATGAATTGAAATACGGCAAGAGAGCACTCAAAAAATCGCTAGTTAAAAGAACGTGGCGTAAGGTCCTGAAGGACGAAGACACACTCCCTAAAGAATGGATGAGCGAGACCGGAGTTTTAGTGGGTGTCGGCTAATGATAGAGTGAGGGGAAGCAAGCATACCGTGGTGTGCAAGCTTATCCGAACTCTTGAAGCTGAAATCCCACACGCGGCGTTACGAGGGATCGGATGTCAGTGCCCTTGGGCATTTCTTCGGGTGGTTGTTATGTCTGGCCGGGTTCCAACTCCAAGGCCTCAAATCAGCGGACAGGGGGAGGACGACTTGGTCGGCCCAAGATGATTCACGGGAAAGTGCCGGCTGCTGGGCACTGAACCGTGATGACGGGTGGCAGCAATGCTATCTCGCCCTGTTAACCCAAACGCTCCACAAAAAAAAAGAAGAAAAAAAAAAAGACAAGAAGGTGCCCCAGTGATGCGGAGTGTTTGGCGATATCCTCATCAGCACAGCCGCCACGTGGCACCGCTGCGAGGAGTCGCTTAACTTTGGCGAGTACCGGGAAGAGTGGGACTCAGAATAGTGGGACTCGCTTAGACTCTCGGCTCTCTCTAAGAGATGCATTATTAGTGGGACTCGGGGCCAAGGAAGGACTCAAATGAGACTCGGGGATCAGTAATTTAAACTCCGCCGATGACGCGCCGGAGCACGGCACCACGCAGTGGGCCTCGCGGCGAGCGACATGCACCACGCAGTGGGCCCAGTGGCGAACGAAAAGCTCCGCGCAGTGGGCTCAGCGGCGAGCGCCAAGGGGGTACGCGGGGGTCCTGGGCCCCGTGTAAGATATTCCTTAAGAAGACATATAATTAGCCCGCCAAACGAGGTAAAATAAAATAAAATAAGCCAGCGCCAGCATAAAGGCCTCACGCTAGCGAATGGGCCCTGTTCCAATGGAAAGGGCAGTGCCAGCGAGGATGGGGGGTCTGGAGGAACCCTCCCCCAGCGCAACTGCCGAGAGTTGCCGATCATTACTGATGGTAGCAGCTGCCCGCAGATCATTGGTTCGTTTGCCGATGGAGCTTCTCGTATATACTCTGTCTCGGTAACCCAGACGTTCGGTGTGATCCTTATCTTATCGCGGACTGATCCGGCGGAGTTTGAATAAATGATAAGAGAAAGTTGGGGCCGGATCACACCTGAACGTCTGGGGCATTTGGTATAGGAACACCCCCCATCGGGTCACATAAGTCACAATCATCCACGTGAGAAAGCGCTGCCGCCCTCTTGCCGCCTCTCCGCCGCCTTCCCGCTCCTCCCCGCCCTTCAATGGATGAGCCCGGTGTCTTCGAAGACCACTACTCGGACCCGGAATCCTCGGAACCTGACTCCGATGAGTCCGACTTTGATCCCGCTGTCGATATTCCCATGTCAGACATCGAGATTGCCCCCGGCGAAGCTTTCGACCCCGAGACCGCTGATGCTGGAACTGTTGTGGACCCACCACCTATGACACCGCTTGTCTTAAATGTCAACAAAATACTTATGCTCATGGGCGCGCTTGGACTCAATTTACCGACTTTTTTGGATGTGATAAGCTGGGGAGATACGGACTGCACATTAAATCCCACCATTCGTCGTGCACGCGCCGATCTTTTAAAATCAGAACAGCTGCCAGGCATTTTGCGACGCTGGCATAAACCTCCCCGACCAGCAAAGTCGAAAAAACACCGTCCAAAGGGTGCGACAGCGGTGATGGAGAGATTTGCACTTAAATGCTCGCAAGGGATTCTCGAGCGAGAGCTGGAACTTCTAGCTCATCTATTTGACTCCCCTGCGGGTGAAGATATCACTGAAGAGCAGTTGACGGGACTATCTTTCCCAGCCACCGTCAAAGAGGCCAAAAAAATTGCACCAAATCTCTTCGCGGCTTTGTTTCGGCTGGCTCGTACAGAAGGGCAACAGGAGCGAAATCCAGCCAAAAATCCTGCGAATGTCAGTTATTCTATGTCCCACTCAATGGACCTGTCTAATTTCCCCGCCAGACCGTCCTTATTGTGATTGCAATTTTCTCATATACCCGGACACATCATTGCGGACGCCTACAGAAGCTGTTTGCTATTTATTTCAAGTTCCGCGGCTTGTCTGCCAAGGGATTTGACACGCTCCATGCCATCGGTCTCACCATGAGCAATAAATGGACAGGAAATGCAGTGGACAGAATTTCGGCTGAATCGATGAAGGAAATGAGGCGGCTCATGGATTTGTTCCCGTGGCTGATGTCGTACGACAATCCCTCGTTGCCTTCCGGGTATTTGCCCAGCGGGTCGACCGGAAGACACTCAATGGAAACGGGACTGCGGGCACAGTATATATCAAGCGCAGTGCGAAACCCTTGCCCAAGGAGATCAATCGCATGCTCCAGGAGTTTCGCAAGGAGGGGATGAAGAATCCGCTCACAGGAGTGGAAATATTCAAAATATCTCTGCTCGCCGACACCCGCCGTGTTCCCCATATTAAATTCCTCATCCTGCACTACCTCTTCGAGTCCCCCGAATTCGATTTTGTCAACTACGATGGGAAGGATCACCCATTATTACAAAAGCCGCCAGCAATTCGACAGCTTCCGGTCGGAAAAGATCATGTCGTGCTCCAGTATCTCTTGGGTATGCTTGATATTCCGGAGGCTTCATACGAGGACAATGCTCGGATTATTCTTGAGTGGCTCAAGCAGCTGCACTACCATCTTCCCGATGCGCAGAAGAGACTCGGCTTGGAGCAGCTGATGGCCTGGGTTGGAGATCAACTCACCATTGATCGTCTTCGAAATCTGTACCGCTTCCGTGCTGAGGACGACAATTCTTTTGAACGCCTCGACTGGTTAGTTTTCCCCCCGGGATGGCTACATATCACGATGGCATTTGCCAACTCCCTGCACAAACAGCACCTGGGTACTGCAAAGGGTCGTGGACTCAGCGCGGCATTCGATGTTTTGAACCGCAAAGGTCTTCAAACGTCACACACTCAAGGCGCTTTTTTCCACGATCTGAACGAAGTGTTGCACTTCATCACTGAGGCACAGATCCGAGAAGTTTGGCTTCAGGTCGGCAAAGCCAATGATCTTGCCGAGCTTCGCCAGAAGACGCCCGAGGACCTGTACAAGCTTGCTGAACAAATAGTGGCCGAACATGCCTCTAGTGGTGCAATCGTTCGCATGAAAATCAAGCCTCGATCAGACGAACTGAAACTGCAATCCATCATGTTCCTCCGCGATGTTCTTCCGTATATCCTGCTGCGGTCGGCATCTATTAGCGTTGTCCTCCGGCATTAATCACCACCGCCGACTTCGCCTGAATCGCTTGCATGGTGGCGAACACATCAAATCCAATAAAATTATACAGCCACATCACTGGTCCAGACCGCCCTGACAGGTATCAACTGCATTCAACAAATACCCGTGCATTTTCTAGGCCGGCCGCACGCTTTTTTCCCTCTCCCAACGTCGTGGTCGCCCACCACAATAACATCCACACTCTTTCCACGCTCTTTCCGCCATAGCAACATGCACATAATATCCAGCTCGGCTCTCATTCTCGCAGTGGCGACGTTCGCGGCGGCAGCGGGGACACCCACCATGCGCAGGAGTCTCAGCTTGAATCCGCCCAAACCGGAGGGAACGACGCCCGCATATGTTTATGCGCGCGCACCCGCACCCGCGCCCATCACGAATGCGAAGCGCATGGCTATGGGGCTCCCGCCGTTGAAGCCCCGCCACTACGGTGCGTGCCTCCGCCCCCAATACAGTTGCGCCCTTGTAACTCGCCTGTCATCAGGCTCGGGCCGCGCCGCGCGCCAGGCGGTGTCTGCTGTCCCGCCCGTTACGTGCGTCCTTCACCCTCCCTTTCTCATTAGGGCTGGCTTACCGTGCCGTTCGCCTCCTCAGGCAAACATGCAATTTACTCGCGACCGACGCGTCCACCGGCAGCACGGTCGGATACCTCTCCCCCGTGTG